TATACTTTACAGAAACTCATACTAAAACGCTGTATAGATCTTTTCTAACTTGGCAAAATACTTAGCTAAAAGAACTGTTACTGATTATGGAACGTATAGTCAGCAAATGACAAAAACAGATTAGGAAGTCATAATATAATTTATAATCATAAGCAATTAAGAGCTGTGAGACATGTTATATGAAGAAAATGAGAAACTTTTTTATGGAAAGAATGGATTTAAATTATGACACACTAATAATGAGATCATTCAATTTGGAATGTTAAATAATTCAGTCTGTTAAGTTCTAAATGCAGTCTCTCAACTAACTGTCACTGAATTATTTTTACTACCTTATTTTTGTGACCTTTTTATTGTAAGCCATTAGTTTGACATTAAAAGGTGAAGTCATTATAACAACACATAACAGGGCATACAATAAGGTGAATGATTGTGAGAAATCAAATAAAGCTTAACTGGCTTTTGATACTATAAAAAGAATCATACTCTTAGAAAAAGAGTCTTCCATTCCTGGGTGTCTGTCAGAGTATATACTCACACACATTAATTATGCTGTAAGACGTCAGGTAGAAGAAACCAGTGTCACCACAACTCCAGTTCCTCTTCACAAGCCTTGTTATGAAATGCAATGCCACCAAACAATACAGTCCTGTGTAGTTCCTCTCACTGCTTAATGGCTAATGCTGTCCATGGCTGAGTAAAGGACTGAACCTGCCAAACTTCTTTACATGTGTATAACGTTGTAACTACAGAATACCTTCTTCATTATGTGAAAAATATGTCTGTCTCAGAGATCTGTTTGCTTTTTATATTTGTACCCGAACTGAGTAAAACTTAGGGGAAAAACATCAAGACATTAATTTCCCAAGAGGCAATCTCAGACTGTTCTGAATCAATCCTGATTGGAGGGGGGCAAAGAGGAGGAAATTTCAGCTGAGGCAAGTTAGCCATCAGGAAGATCCACAGTCTTCTTGCCGTTAGCACCAAGGAGAGACATACACAGAAACCAAGATCCCTGAACTGATCACATGTTAGAGCTTAATACCAATCCATCCCACCCTATCACTCTTATGGTGTTGGATCTTTACGGCAGACTGCCTAGCAGTAGGAGGCAAGTTAGCAGTTTCACATAAAACTTTCTGGGCTTCTTGAATGCCTTCCATCTTATGCATACAATCCTTCCTCCTCTATCTACTGTGAGAGCTCATCAATTAGTTTAACTTACAGATTACACTAATGGGGAGGTAACCTTCCTAAAATGTTTAAATTGATTGGTTATTGTTGACATTCATCTTGAGGAAGGTGGAGGACTACTGTTTCTTTTGTAGAAGAAAGGCGGTGATTACCACAAAGGCCAAAGTAGAGGAGTAATAGAAGAAAACATCCAATCCCCTTTGGGGTTCTTGGTTGTTTTGTTGTTTTTTGTTTTGTTTTGTAACTGTTTGATTTTTAAAGGCAAAGCAGGTAGGAACTACAATCTGTAGAACACTTGAGCATTTTCTCAGTGAGTGGGGTGGCTCCTCTTCCTGGTTGGTAGCATGCTAATATGCTGAATCTTTGGAATTACTGAATTTATTGAGGTTGAAAGATTCAATTGCTTGCATTCTTGACAGACAATTAATCTGATCACAAGAATAGCAAAATAACTGGAATACACTCTTGAGAAGATTCTAGGAAGAGGTGAGGATCATATCTGTGTTTCTTAGGAGTTTTCAAGGTCAAGGTTTTTTAGAAAGAAGAATTTGGGGTAGGCCAACAAAAGCCCTCACGAGATGGAAAAAGATGGTAGGAGTGGTTATTCTGATTGGGAATGGGAGATAGGAAGAGGAATCAATTGTCAGACAATACCAGAATGAGGGATGGGCTTTATATCTAGACTGCATGCTGCATTACTTATCCCAAATTTTTTAACTACTCTTCCTTCTGTTCAGTGCTCTCTTTGCTTCTGTTCAGTGCTATCTTTGCAGAACAATTTATGAGTAATCTAAAAAAAAAAAAAGCAAATCTAAATAAGCTGAAGTGAGTTTAGGAACTTCTGCATTGCTGAAGTTACACTGTGAAATATATGCTGTTTATTTTAGTGATATAACAGTTTTTTCAATTTATTACCAGCTTCCTCCATGAATTTGACAGTTTAATATTTTGTGACAGTTAAAGCTTTACTTCATGTAAATGTACTTTGATTTCAGGCATTCCAAACATATTTATTACAGGTCTGTCTCACACTGAAAATGAAAGAAGATAGAAAGAGATACATAACCAATAGCATTTTTGACAGTTTTCTGCCAAGTCACACTATGTGGCTTCAGCTGAGAAATGAAAAATAATTTTGTTGAACATATCCCTATAGAGTCTAAATTCAGAGAGTTCTATGAATTTCAGTCCTAACATTTAAATCCTGTATACAAGTAATATCTGAGTCATGAGAAGCTCACATCATTCTGTCATGCATCAGTTGTTAATGACCTTTCTTGACCTTATAAAAATAATTTCTAACAAAGGAAATGAGTAACGATAGTTTCTTTACCATAAAAAAGGTATTATTTAATATGAATAGCCCCATTCCAAACCCTGAAGTTCAATGAAATAGCTAGCATGAGTTTAGTAAGTTCATTATAAAAGGATAGTATTTCAAGACAATTTACAAATTGTTATACAGCTATCTTTTTGTTCTATTATATTCAGAAGGCTGCAACAAGAGAAGGCATGCAGCAGCGGATATGCAAATTAGGCAGGCAACCGTAGACAAGTTAATGGAAAAAGCTGAAAGAGAAGAAGGGGGCACAGCACCTCATTGATATGCTGGCTTTGGCTGGGGTAGAGTTAATTTTCTTCAGAATACCTAGTATGGGGCTATGTTTTGAATTTGTGCTGGAAACCATGTTGGTAACACAGGGATGTTTTTGTTACTGCTGAGCAGCGCTTACACAGAGTCAAGGCCTGTTCTGCTTCTCACGCCACCCCACCGCAAGCAGGCTGGAGGTGCACAAGAAGTTGGGGGGGACACAGCTGGGACAGCTGACCCCAACTGACCAAGGGGATATTTCATACCATATGATGTCATGCTCAGCATACAAAGCTGGGGGAAGAGGGAAGAAGTGGGGGACATCCAGGGTTACAGCATTTGTCTGCCCAAGTAACTGTTACGTGTGATGGAGCCCTGGAGATGGCTGAACACCTGCCTGCTGATGGGAAGTGGTGAATACATTCCTTATTTTGCTTTGTTTGTGCGTGCAACTTTTGTTTTACCTATTAAACTGTCTTTATCTCAATCCACAATTTTACTCACTTTTACCCTTTTGATTCTCTCCCCCGTTCCACCTGGGGGAGCGAACGAGCGGCTGCGTGGTGCTTAGTTGCTGGCTGGTGTTAAACCATGATGATTGCTCATCCAGGCTCTTCACAGTGGTACTTGATGGGAGGAAGAAAGCCTAAGTTGGAATAACAGAGGATCAGCCTGGATAGAAGAAAAACATTCTTTAAGAAAAACATTTTTCAACCTGAGGACAGTGGAACAGGTTGCCCAGAGAGGCTGAACAATCTCCATGCTTAGATGTTTTCAAGATGTTATTGAATAAAGCCCTGAGCAACCTGGTCTGATCTCATCGCTGACCCTGTTTTGAGCAAGAAGTTGAACAAGAGATCTCCCACAGCCCCTTGCCACCTGTGTTATTCTAGCATCCTACGATCATACAGTACTGGTACCCTGGTAAAAAGAGAAAGCTTTCATAAAGTAAGAAAGGAAAAAATCCTGCTAGATGGGAAAAGAGGTAATACAGCTCTTACTTCAGTAGCTCTTTCTCCATTATTCCCTATTGCAACCATATAAGGGGGCAGGTATGTTCAAAGTTAGGAACGTTCTAGCATTCTACGATCATACAGTACTGGTACCCAACTGCTGGTAAAAAGAGAAAGCTTTCATAAAGTAAGAAAGGAAAAAATCCTGCTAGATGGGAAAAGAGGTAATACAGCTCTTACTTCAGTAGCTCTTTCTCCATTATTCCCTATTGCAACCATATAAGGGGGCAGGTATGTTCAAAGTTAGGAACGGGAAAGATGGCAGTCTACAAAGTCTGCATATGAGCTCTGGAATAGGTGATGGCACTAGAGTGGAGAGTCTGCCAAGCTAATTTAGACAATTATGTCCAGGAAAGACTATATATGTCAAGGGTGATCTAGAATGTTTTTTTTCTTATGCTGTGTTTTGCTTTTGTGACTCTTTGTTTTAACAAAGTTTTATTTCTACTCTTATCTTGACAGAATTCAGTAAGCATACTCTTTTATATTTAAATCTTATCACACCATAAATCTGAGTCACCTCACATACAGAGGGTACAGCCCTCCCTGGAAAGGCAGACGTCATTGAGATGCACTGAACGAGAAATGTTCATGTTACCTATATTCAGGGCTTCTCCTGAGTCTTCAGGTTGCTTCCATACTAGGCTGTGGGTCTCTCGTTGTAGTGTTAACACTGATTAACCTGACTGCCTTGGAATGTCTGGAGATAGCCTGGAACTTCTATGATGAGCAGCAGGAAAGTGGAAAAAGGCTTCAGACTTGAGGGGTGTGGGATGAAAAGGAAAGTTGTCACTTTCAACTTGTCACACTAACAGAAAACATATTTAAGATTGTCTTTCCAACTTTTTTTTTATTCTCTTCATTAGCCTACAAACATGAAAGGCTGAGTTCCATTCCTAAGACTAAATCTTTTTTTGCCTATGTATTCAAAACAAAAATAAAACTATTAAGTTTTCTGAAGTTCACAGCTAGGTGGCGATGATAGTGATGCTGGAGGGAACTGGGGAAGCAACTATTATTTTTACTTTAGTGAAATAGGTAAAAAAATTCACCTACAATGTCAGTACTGACGATATTAGTAAAGTTATATGAAGATATGTATAAATATTAAAATAATTTCTGATTTCAGGAGAAAAGTGGAGTTGAATGTACAATCACAGAAAATAACATTTTTACCTTATTCAACTTTGTTTCTCTTTTAGTGGCAAAGCATTACTATAACACTGGTTGAGAAAGTGCAGATCGTTGCTGTAATCCTAGGATCTCTGTTCTTAGTAGCAAGTGTGACTTGGCTTCTATGGTCAGCCTTCAGCCCTTATGCAGTATGGCAAAGAAAGGACATCCTTTTTCAAATCTGCTATGGAATGTATGGTTTTATGGATCTAGTATGCATAGGTAAGCTCAAAATCTTTAAACAGCACAGACTGTGGTTTAAGATTGTGACTATATCTATTTTTCTAATTGGTCACTCTAATCGATCACTCCAGTTCTTTGCAGAGTTATTCTCAGCTGGTACCTTTGACAAATACTGCTTTTTACAGTGTTGCAAATACTGAAAAGAGAAAAGAACCAAAGAAGCTTTACTCTCAGATTCACCAGAGTGTCTCCCCAAGATCTTAGTGGTAAGAATAGGATCAGTTTCGATTTCTTGAAAAAAGTTCAGGAAGTTAAACAGATGAAAATTACAAAGACATTATTAAAATAATTAGTAAAATTATATGCTTCCAAGTCTTCTACTGATGCCACTTTGCATTAGATTGTACCATCATGATGCAAAGAAGCAGCCCTTGAGGATGTCATCAAACTACATATCCAAAATTAATTTGCACAGACTTATATAGGTCACTGTGCTAGTAATAGAAAAGAACAGAGAAGGCAGGCATGAGTTCTTTGTACATCAGAAACAGTTATGAAACAATGTAATAGTGTTAAGTATAATAATTTACTATACTATTAAAAAGTCTCCAGTCATTTAACTCTAGGTGAAATCTTATAAAAGAAAATGCAATTTACTCCAAAGCTATTTTGGCCAGTTTTGAAATTTCTGAAAATACACTGGACCCAGAAATATTAAATATAAAATCCTTTAGTATTTGATAAAACAACCTTTAATTGATTGTTAGAATAGCTACAATTATTTGCAGGTGAAATTTAATAAATTGCAGTAAACATTAGACCACATTCTTAGGATTGCAATTCCAAGAAAATCCAGAAGCAAAATGCTATCTGATGTTTGGTTTGAGATTTCTGACTGATAAATGCTGATGTTATCCCAACTTCATATTTGGGAATTCAGAAAGACAGTGCTGAATTCTGCTCAATATGGTGCAAAGAATCAGAGTGATTCCTAATATCAAGGCTTTTTCTCCAACCATAAAGCGTATCATCTTTTATTGAAACCATCCCATTACAGTAAGAGTATTTATATTTCAGCTGGACCAGACATTCTGTTTATTTTGTAGTTTTTCTAAGAGAAGCTTGCTCTGGAATATTTCAGAACACAGGCTTTCTTCTGTGAACCCAAATCTTCTCAGGCAGAAAAATGAACAGAATCTAGGTCTCTAATACTCTGGACAAGTGCTCAGCTTTTGAATGAAAAAAAGGGCTCAGCTACATGTCCTCTTACATGTTGATCCCTGAATACCACTTTTTCCAGCTTAACACTCAATATAGAGGTTTTTGCTTTTCTTTAAAAAAAATTAAGTGAAAACAAAATGTGCTTCAAGCATTCTAAACTTTTCATTTATATGGAATTCTGTTTTTTCACAAAGATTACAATTGTAAAAAATTTACTTTGATATACATCACCTAGTTGGAATAACCAGTTATTTCAAAGTATTTCCATTTCTTTCCATTTGTTTGACTATTGAAACTCCTAAACCAAATTAATCTCAAAATCAGTCGAGAACATCTGTGGGTGATCAGAAATATTAGTGTATTTATCCGTAGAAGTAAACTGTTGTAAGGTGAGCCTTCAGTAAATTGATACGTGCAGTTATGTAGCTGCCTTTCTAGCCAGCCAGGCTCAAGCCACTTCTGGACTGGAAGCTACTGAACTAACATGTCCCTCACATGGCTAGGGAGCTTCTAGCCTAAGTGGCACCATGCAGGAGCAAAGAGGACATGCAGCTGTCTTCACCCACCAGATAAAGTGACTTGCCTGTAATTACATAAATGCATATTTTATAGTGCTATCATAAATAATACATTGAAAATTTTATGTAAAACTGACTATAATTAAACATATTTGGACACTGTTTCATAATATGAAGTTCAGTGCAGGTATGACTTGACAATTTACTAAATTATATCTGGAAATTCAGAAAGCTGTATAAAGGAGGTTTGGTAATTGTAGAATTCTGATGATCCAGACTCATTCAGCCCACTTATTTTGCATATAATATCAAGTAAGCTGCATTCTGTAAGCTTATAAGACCAGGAGTTCTTGTAACTCTTGAAAGTATTTATTAATATATTAAACTTTATTTAATTTTATCTTTTTTTATCATAAAATGAGGGATTTTAGATTGATAGTTTTAATTTAAAACATATGAATAAATTTCTCTAATAGATGGATGTAATTATTACTGATGAATGATGTAAAAAACCCAAGACTGTCCATTATGCTAGTAACTTCCCAAAGACATTAACATATGATTTTACCATTGCATATTATATATAATCTCATATCATAAAGCTTGTAATGCTCACAGCCAGCCACAGTTCTCACTTAGTATCTCTTCTCCTCTCATTTGTGTTTAGTCATCCATGGCATTCTCTGATTTTTCACCAGGATTCACAGTGAGTGAATACCTATACTCCCACTGGAATCGCTCTTTATTTCATTGAAAAAGCTATGCAGACATATGGCTTTTCCTGTGCAGCATGTATTTCAAGACAAGTGCTTGAGTTACTGGTGGTTTGACCAAGACTTATTCCAACTGCCTTCAGTTATGCCTCCCTATAGCTTTGCATAAACAATATGAATATTTTTGATCATTTGTGAAGTGTAAAGATCTGTACTTTTTGAAATGTTTTGTTGTCATTATTTTTAAAAGCAGTTTGCCTAAAGGTACTGACATATTTATATGACATCTTTGAAAACTTGCACATATTAATTTGTTTTCCCAGTGGTTAATTTATATACCATACATAGCATACCACACACTTTCTTCTCAATTAAATTACATGTAACTTGTATTTTAATTCTTGTTCTTGTTTTACTTTTCACCAAAAAATATACCCCAAAGACTACAGATCACCAATATAATGTGTTCTTTTCATTTCAGTGCACATATTTTATTGGTATCCATTGTTCTCCTTGTTCTACTCTCAATTTTTCCAGAATTCTTCCTAACAGGATCATTTTTACTTATCAATGTTAGCTTCAACCCTACAAGTCACCAATGTGTACATTCTGCATCTAAGCTGGACATTAAGCTGTCCTCTTTGGAACTTGCTGATGGTAGAAGTTTTCTAAGGCAAACCTTGAACATTTCAGTCAGGTAGAACTACTGCCTGTAAAACCCAGAGTGAGCTATTGGAGCGGTGGTGCTAGGATCAGACCATCCATGTAGGCATTACCAAAAGGAGTGAGTCATGAGCTAACATGAAAGGAATGAATAATATAAACCCCTTATTTAGCCACCGAAGGACAGTACACCAAGCCTTTGCCATTCTACTTTGTAGACCTAGCAATTATTTCTTGTAACAGTGAAGTCATATAATTTTATGTATTTTCACTAGAATATAATCATAGCTACTAGTCAGAAATGGTTCTAACAAACATGAACAAAATCTCTCACAAATAATAATAGCTCACTTGTAATCCCAGAACAACAGTACAGCTCCTTTAGAACGTGAAAAGCAACTGTAATGCTGCACTGGAAACATGAGTGGTGCCGGTAGTACTACAGCAAGGGAGTAAGAGATGGGAGTCAATGTGAGGTGTGAATGGCCCTCTGAAAGCCTCTTTCTTCCTCACCAAGGAACTTGATGCCTAGCAACATTTGTGTAAGTCCTTAGTTGTAAAAATGCTGAAGTTCCTTACAATGAACACATTTAGTTGCACTTAATACTCCTCTACTCAGAAAGTCTTTTTCACATTAGGTCTAATTCTAAATAGTTTAGAAAGAGTTATATTGCTATTTTTAAAGCGGACATGTTTCACTTTAATGCTTTGAGCAATTTATTGCATTTTTTTATAGCTAGAATAGTATAAAGAGATGGAATTTTGTCCAGTGGTAAAGTATGTTTCTGAAAAGGGTCTTTTATCCCCTGGTAAAAATTTGTGATGATTCTAGGAGGACTATTCCTAAATGATTTTAAGTAAGATTAGTGTGACAAATAAGACAACTTTGGAACCTAGTACCACCAAATCCAAATGAACTAAGATGAGTTGCCTGCTTGTAAAGACATTCAGTATGAAAAATTTCAAGTGGTCTTGTAACTCAGGGTAAGAAATCCTTTGGATAGAATGAAAGAATCTCATAGTACCTGGCAATAAGAGAAAAGTATGGCCTCTCTATACCTATTGTCTGGATCCCACCACAATCCCTACATCTTAGAAATAAATCCTGAAGGTAAAATCTTCTCAGAGCCTTAAGACATTTTGCCAGGTCCATCATCCCAAAACTCTCTTCCTTGTAGATATTAATGATACAGAATGTCAGAACAGCTAACAGTAGTGAATTCTAACACTTCCTCTTGGGATCATCTGAGTAAACAAGTAATTTATTTTTTTCCCTAGGACTGTGCAACTATGTCCTCTGTGCTGATGAAATCATGGTATTTGGAACAAGTCAGTATTATTTATGGATTTATCCTTGTTTTTTCTCTCATATTCTCATTTATTGCAGTGGAACTCTTAAGAAAAAAAGAGATTATTTTCCATTTTCTTACAGCTTCACTTTAGTGACTAACTACTTACATCTTGAGCATCAGAACTTCTCCAGAACTGGAAAATCTCCAGCAGTTAAACCTTACCAAGATTTCCCCTTGTTTGTGGTCTTGGAACTGTTGGTGCTGAGACATTTTTTTTCCTCACTCCCTGGAAACTATCTTTCAAAGAGACAAAAGATCTATTGGAATTTTTTTGCCTCTTCTACATAGGTCTTTTTCAGTCTGTAGTTTTATCAGATAGGAAATAAAGTTTTTTATGTGAGGAATTATGAAAGTGCTCCTTTTCTCCAAATCTGACAACTTTATTTCAAGCCTTGCAATATTTGATCCTTTTTTTCAGTAGCTCTTTTAGACCATATGTGAATAAGAGCTTCTATTTTAAAGAAAAGTTATCTTCTTTGCCATTGTTGAAAAAAACTTGAAAACGTATTTTCAGTAAATCTTGAAAGCTCAAAAAAAAAAAAGGAGTTCCCTAAAAGAAGCAGACCTAAAACTTTATCTGTCATAATTTTGAGAGAGTGTGTTTGACTGTTTAAATGTACTTCATGTACCTCAGTAATCCTTTCTCAACGGCTTCCTTCTCTTTTCTGAAATAAGTTGTTCAGGTTCCAATGGAGTGCAGGCAGGTGTCAAAAATCTTTACACTGGAGTAAACAGGTTCTCTCAATTTTGCTTCATCACAGTCTGGAGGGAAATTGGGCCAAAGAATACTATGATCCAGTGACAAATAGAGGAAAAATTATGCTCATCTCCCTTATCATTCTACAGGAAATCCAACAGGAAAAAAAAAAGGTGGGGGGACCTTTGTCACAGCAATAAAACCATGGCTTATTCAGTTTGTAGATTTTGTACGTGATCAAATGCGTTTATCCTTTTTAAAACAATATAGCCAGTCTTGAAAGTTCATTTACGTATTAACAAGGCCACTAAATTTTTAGGACAGGTTGTTTTATATATCTGAGAAGATGAAGATAGACATCTTGCAATCAACAAAATTTTACACTAAAATGCTATGCTGATACAAAACACATCTAGAATATTTAACACAATTAAATTTATACTGTGTTAGTTTTGCTGTATTAGATGCTTCCGTGAATTCTAGGCAACTTGAAAGCCTTACAGCAATGCTACATTTGCTATCATGTCCTTCTGAAATCAATCTTTGTGTTTCTTCATCTTTCAGTGTAATGATCTTTAAAAATGTGTTAGAATAGGCATTGCTACCTGCAAATCATTGCACTTGAATCTGAGGTTTGCTGTTCATATAAATGTTTTTATCATCCTTTCTGCTTGTGTCATCTTTCTTTGAATGTCTCCTTTCTGGTTTCAGTTAACCGCTCTAAGAGACCTCAGACACTTAAATAGCAATTTTGTTGTGTAGGAACAGGTGATGTACAATCTCTTTGGATAAAGGACTATAGTCTGTGACACCACAAATCATATTATAGGGGTGGCCATGTATAGGAACATTTTAGGCAAGAAACACACTGGACAAAAAATTTATAAATGTGTTTGTCTAGGCAGATTGCTCTCCTCCCAAAGCAGGGAGTCTGAGGAAATGTGACATTGCTCAGAACCATGTAAGATACCAGGCTGGTTGAGGAACAGAGGAAAAAAGCTAAGAAGAATGCTGAAGCCCCATGTGTCTCCCCAGTAAATCCATATTTGAAATACTTACACATAAAGTGGGTGCATATAAATACATACACATATATACATACATACAAAAAATGAAGACTTTCATCTAAGTAAATAAATTACTTGCATGCCTACAATAAGCATAAATATTAGCTACGTGGAAGCTCATAAGCAGATTGGTCTGTCGAGGACTCTGGATACTCTGTATTTTCCTTGAGGGACCTTTTAAAAGATTTTGTGGGTCTCAACAAAAAAGATGTTTCTCAACTTTTGTCTACTGAATTTTGAAAAGAAAAAAGCAAACCTATTATCCTTGCCATGTTCACCATGGTTAATAATAACATTTAATTTCTTCTTGCTCTACTGAAGACAGGAAAGTCATTATACTTACAGGTGTTTCAGATTTTCAAAATCTTATACGCTCCCAAGTTGAACTAAGAGTGTGAAAACAGTTAACAGTTAAATTTGTTTGTATCTGTATTGAATTCTGCAAAATACTCTTAAACAAATTTAAGACCATGCTATTTATTACAGATGGTCTAACTTACTTAAAGATCTATTTACACTAGTACAAATCTCACTAAATAGTACTTACTATGAAGAAGGATAACACTAGCATAAACAGTCAACTTACAAGTCTGCCACTAAGGTTCTTTCACATTGGTTTAATTAAACCTAAATATTTTATTTAGTTTGGCATGCTCAGGTTATTCTAGTATTGGTTATGTTGAGCTTTCATTAAGAACATTTTTATATTTCCTTTACATGTTCCCGCCTGCCAATCTTAAACACATGAATAACCAGTTATATTGCCTATGTACAATTTTTTTTGCATTATCAGAGTTGCAAGTAATTTAATAGGCTCTGGCAATTGACAGATTCATTACAATGTGTTACAACCGTATTTGGTTGCAAAATGGTATCCACTGATATTTTGTACAAACTAATGTTTTTTCTTAATTTCAGGACTGATAGTACATGAAGGTGCATCTGTTTATCGAGTGTTTAAGCGCTGGAGGGCTGTGAATCTACACTGGGATGTGTTAAATTACGATAAAGCCACAGACATAGAAGAGAGCAATCGAGGAGAACCCTCAGCCGGAAGGACATTGCGGT